CAGCAGGGGTAGGGCTGACAGCACTGCCCAGAGTGGGGAGACCACCTTGTGTCCTTTCTCCTCCGCAGCTGTAAGTCATGATGAGCTGGCTGAGCCATGCAGGGCCCAGGCTGGTGGAGCAACACCTGACCTTGGGGCTGAGCCCAGAAGACCTCCTACGGCTGAAACACTCCTGCCAGCCTAGTCCCAGCAAGGCTCCAGTCTGCCTCGGAGCCGGGATGGTAGCAGGCTCCATGGCCAGGAGGTGCTGGCTCAGGGGGCTGTCTGGAGGCTTGGAGAAACCCAAATACCCCTGCAGCCCCATGGAGACATGGACTTGCTCCAGGTGCAGACTCCTGTCTACTCTGCAGCTCCTTTCACCTGCAGGCAATGGGCCAGGCCTGAGCAGCCCTCAGTCACTGTCCCAGCAGGCCAGAAACATAGCTATGGGTTAAATTTCCCCTGAGACAGGTCTTCTGGGTCTGGTGTTTGGAGGGAACAGTCTGCTCAGCAAGGCAAGACCAGAGGAGGAGAGCAGATATCCAGACTGACCCCAACACAGCACAAGGTGCTGCGTGTAGGGGATGCCACATGTCACCTCCGTTCTCCCCACACGCAGCTGCAGAGATGCCCCACGTGGTCCATACCTGCGTGGGGGCAGTGGGCAGCAGGCTGTGGGGCAGGGTCAGGCACACTTGCCCTTGCGAAGGCAGAAAGGCAGCTCAGGCACAGGGACTAGGATGGTACTGAAGATGGGTCGGTAGCCCTCGGGCACGACCTGGGGGTGCTGAGCCATCATTTCCAGCACCACGTGCCGCACTTCCTTGGAGACATCACCCCGGAGATCCAGCAAGGTAGAGATGTGCTCATCACTGGGCAGAGAGCAAGAGGTGAGTCCAGGTGCTGCTGACCCACGGCACGACCCACAGTGCTCGTGTCCCACAAACCTCCCATGACCCAGACATGCCAAGCTGAGGTCAGGGGAAAACTGGTACTTTGCACTAGGCAAACTTTAAAATTGGCTTGAAAATAACCCCCCAAACCTTGTGGCTTTGGTTTTGACATTTCCAATCTAGTGTTTTGTCATTTCTCACACTTTGGCCACC